GTGGGGTTTTTATTAGAGCAATGTGCTCGGCTTGGCCAACTGCACCGTGGGTGCCAGTTTCACGATCAAGCTTGCCAATCCCAGATTTCGCAATGTCGCCACCAGCCAAACTGGATCCGGGGCTCAACCTCTTCGACGACGACGACCAAAAAATATTTTTTGGGCTGTTTGCGACATTGATCGTGAAACTTTCACACAAGGTGCTGTTGGCCAAGCCGAGCCCATTGCTCTATTCAAAACCCCACGTTTGATTGTAAAGTTTGGAGATACAGGCACCTTTATGTTTGTAAGCGTGATGCTATATGAGAAGTGGTCTTTGTTCATTGCCAAGTAGCTGGACCCTGGCAGAGCAAAAGATGCAGAGGGTCGTGTTGTGTAACACAGCTACGTTTGCATGAATGAAAGGGTCAATGTATAACTACTTTATGGATCATCTAGGAACAGGCATGTAGTGCTAGCTAACGGCCACTTTTATCCAATCATCATTGTTGCGAGATCCACTGCATGGGAACGATACCCCTGCTCTAGACATTCATTTCCATGATTAAAGTAGGTTGATCCGAGCTGATTTGACTGAGCTGCGGTCAAAGACAGATTACATCACTCTGGACATAAAGCACGCTCGATGTAGCTCAACCGATGTAATCTTGTGTGAGCGTAACTCAACCAAATCAGCTCGGATCAACCTACTTGAATCATGGAAATGAATGTCTGGAGCAGGAGAATCGTCCACCTACAATAGAATGCACAAAAATTGGGAATGCACAAAAGTGGCTATTAGCTGCCAATGTATGACATAAAAGTGAGGGTTGCGTACCTTTCATGCATTGTCCCTGAAGTCCTGACTTTTTAGCTGAGTTACCCAAAGAGGTCCTTCTGCGTCTTTTGCTCTATTATAGCCATACTACTTTACATTAAACAAAGACCACTTCTCATATAGCACCACGCTTACAAACATAAAGGTGCCTGTATCTCCGAACTTTACAATGAAACGTGGGGTTTTTATTAGGGCCATGTGCTCGGCTTGGCCAACTGCACCTTGTGTGAAAGTTTCACGATCAAGCTTGCCAATCCCAGATTTCGCAATGTCGCTACCAGCCAAACTGGATCCGGGGCTCAACCTCTTCGACGACGACGACCAAAAAATATTTTTTGGGCTGTTTGCGACATTGATCGTGAAACTTTACACAAGGTGCTGTTGGCCAAGCCGAGCCCATTGCTCTATTGAAAACCCCACGTTTCATTGTAAAGTTTGGAGATACAGCCACCTTTATGTTTGTAAGCGTGATGCTATATGAAGAGTGGTCTTTGTTCATTGTCAAGTAGGTGGACCCTGGCAGAGCAAAAGATGCAGAGGGACTTCTTTGTGTAACACAGCTCACTGGGTGGTACTGGAAAGGATCAATGCATGATAATACATACTATGATAATAGTTCATAAACTGCCAGTTAACAGCCCGTTCCTCCAATTCGTCTTTGTTGCCAATTTCACTGCATGGGAACGATTGTCCTGCTCCAGCCCAACATTTCCATCGTTCAACTTTCTTGATCCGAGCTGATTTGGCTGAGCTACACTGAAACAGCAAACATGTTAATTCTTGAAAGACAGACCCTGCGAATGTCTCCGTCTTTCAAACTTGTGGACGCTCCCATTCCAAATTTTCAAATGAAGCGTGAGGTCTTTATTAGAAAATATTGATCAGCATGTTCGAGAGCACCCTGCTGACCAATTTTCAAGTTGGAGGTGGACAACTTCGGGGCGGAGGACCATCCGCTCTTTTGTTCCGGATCGATCCCGTCATCCATCATTTGGATCACCCCGCATTTTAAATCTTCACAATGAAGTCTGCGAATGTTACTTGAATGAAGTTGATCAGCATGCCCAAGAGCACCTTGTGTGAAAGTTTCATGTTCGAGATGGGCAATCTCAATATCAAGGATTGGTGTACAGTGTTCATGCATTTATACAAGAGGGGTCCGACCTATTTAATTTCCACCTCTTCCACAGCCAGCCTCTTCCCTCTTCCTCCCATTCTCAACTGTTGCCCCATTCAAGTACATCTACCGCCTGCAAACGATTGTCCTGCTTCAATCCACCATGTCAATCCTGCAATTGCCTTGATCCGATTGCCTTTGACTGAATGGCAAGTGCATGGTGTGTACTCAACCTTCTTGTCACTCTTCTACAACACACGAATCTCTTGACACAACACCTTCTCTTTTGCACGCTCAACTGCCACAACCAAACGTTACAGCATTCATTCTAGCAGTTGCTACTCGCTCCATTGTCTCAAGCAGCGTTCACAACGTTGTCATTCTATTACAACACACGCTCTTACACGTTCCTCTGCCACAACCAACCGTAACAGCAATTGCCATTAGCAAGGTCTTTACATTGTCTCAAGTTACCTACAGCAACCTGCATTGTAGCCTTTATTACGTGAACATCAGATAGCCATTGTATAAAAGCAACTTTATTTACGTGCAACAACTCGCTTGGCTATATACGGATTCCAATGGACGGGGTACCATACCAGCTATCAAGAACACCGCAATACAAGCACTCTTCACCTGGTTGAGGTGTGATAGACAATGACCAAGAAAGAGATAGACCAACGGCCGGATGGAAAAGGAAGCAGATCAGCAGCAATCACAGAGGTTCCCTTTTTTATTGGACTTGAAATGGTTATGGATGGATGGATGCAATCAAGTGCAGTGATGAGAAACTATGGAATGTTGCTTTGGCTACTTGGCACGTCGTCAGCAAGAACGATGGATCACATCACGTGGATACGGCTGAAAATGAGGATGGATTGGATGGCATGGATGAGAGGGCTTATACCTTTGACGAAAGGCAGCTTCCACCATGGATGGCATTGGATATTGGAATCAAGGCACGCACAGCAACTAGTTTGCAATCATGGATGAAGATGTTTGTGACGGCAACAACAAAGAATACAATGACACAATTATCGCTGTTTCCTCTACATAGTCACCCGTATCTTATTCAGCTTGTAATGCTTTCCCTTTATCATATTGATAAACATTCACATTACCATATGCTATTCTTCGACTCTCATTGAATGGAAAATTTGGATGAATATAATACTTAGGAGGGTACCGTACTATCAGCTCATGTGCAAGATGTGGATCACTTGGTTGGTTTCTGGATTGAAGAAGGTGGGGAATAGAAATTGAAGGTCGGGTAGTGAGGTTGGGATCATTTACATCATCCTATGCAGATCCATTCGCTAAAGCTTCCTACATAGTCCACATGTTGCCAATAGAGGAATGAATGGCTGTGACTATGTGAACAATTGCTCGAGGATTATAGTAAAGGCCGTTATTAAACTCTTCGTTCTACCCATTTCGTATCATGTCGACAGCTATTGAGTAGCAGCATGTGGTTGTGCCGTCTCCTTAATTTCGCTCGGATATTTAGCCATGTAAATACGTTAAACCACCTCCACGTGAAACATCTTTAAAGCATTACACACTCGCCACAGCATGTCACGCGACATGGTCTCTCACAGCTGTAAACAAGACGTCATGATGCATCACGATGAGAGCAAATGAAAGCTCTCTATCCTTGTTTGAGATGGTTCGAGCTTAAATGCAAGTCATGTCTCAGGTTGCTTAACAATGAATCAGTGATAATATGCCCCGTTGATAGAAACCTGTCGAAGCGCACCTGCATCATCAACCACTCAGCTGGTTTGCATGAAAAAAGGGCGCCAAGAGAAAAATCAGACAATTTAACCCAGCATCTCGGCTTGGCTCTCCCTTCTTTACTCTTTCTTTCTTCTTTCAATCACAAACAATCAAACATCATGGTTGGCGACTGCTGTCTCATTATCCTCATCCTTTTGCTCCCTCCTCTCGGTGTCTTTTTGATGAAGGGATGCAACTCTGATTTCTGGATCAACGTGTAAGTCGCCTTTCCCTCTACCAACTCCTCCACGTTCACATCATCGTCGTCGTTCTTGCTGCGTTATGTACCATCTCACACTATATGCATCACGAATAGTTGCTTGACCATTCTTGGTTATTTGCCTGGTGAGTATAGAGCTTCAAGTCTTTTGACTTGGAAGTTTTTCGTCTAAAAAGGATCTTTTGCTAAACGGATACGGATAATAGGTCACCTGCACGCCTTTTACGTGCTTGTCAAGGACCGAGAACAAAGACAACAACAGCAACAGATCCCTCCTCCCCCACCTGGCTACGGTGCCGTTCCTACTCAACCACAATAACCATTTTGAACTTGTGAAAGCGTTCTTTGTTCATATTGTACCCTTTATTATCTTATATATCCAAGTCCTCCGGTTCACGGAAATACATTTCTTACCACCAACTACCAACTCGGTGGCTTACACGAAAAGAGCAACGTTGTGAAACGCATGACAAGTTACACGACACATGCAGAGTGGGACAAAGAGAAGAAGGAAAAAATACCAGATTCATTTGATGGGGATGAAAAGGGTTCGTCTATGGATATGTATAAAGGGGGTGGTACATGCTTGGTTGTAGCTCTTAAGGTGTGGGTGTATGGTGGATGATGGTTGTTGGTAAATGAGTATTGCGATTGACTGATAAGAAAGAAGAGGGGTGGTGGGATCTTCAGTAATCTGAGCTCAGCTGTTCCAGGTCCTGTTCCGAGAAGCCCAACAAAGTGAGCACGTATTTGAGACTTTTCTGGTTGATACGCGAAGGTGCCTACAAAGATGATGGTGGATCCATTAGCGCATGATCCCTCATATCCCTCCATTCTTTTTACCTGTTGCTGGACACGAGGCTTGGCGTTAAAAGCAATACCAAGACCAGCCTTGTTCAACATCCATAAATCATTGGCACCATCACCAACAGCAATGACTTGTTTTGGGGTCACGCCTTCTGCTTGAGCAAGCACATCCAATAATTCAGCTTTCCTGATACCATCAACAACAGGTCCAACGGTCTCGCCAGTCAATGTTTTTCCATCCCAAGACACTTTGAGCTACACAACAACAACAACAGCCATCGATGCCGTTTTAGCGCGTGGAAGATCGACCAACAAAATAAGCGCATGATCTTTACCTGATTAGCAAATGCATAATCCAATCCAAGCTCGGCTTTGACATAGAGTGCCAATGGCATGAAACCACCTGTAATAATCCCCATCTTGTTCAGAATCCCAATACAGCACGACGAGAGCGATTTACTTACCACTGATGACAGCTAATTTGAATCCGAGCTTCTTAAGGGCACGGCATAAGAAATGGGCACCTTCAGTGAAAGTCAAACTCTCCTTGACCTTTTCGATAACATCCACACTTGTGCCATTGAGCAGAGCAACACGACGACGCAACGATTCTTTAAAGTCGATTTCACCATTCATAGCTGCTTCAGTGATAGCCTAAAGGGATGATGTAAGTTAAAGCCCATATACCTTATTGATCGAGTGATGATCACTTACCGCGACTTCATTCACCACGCCGGCGTGTCGAGCAATTTCATCGATAACTTCTTGACGAATGAGAGTTGAATCCATATCAAAGACAACGAGTCGTTTGTTCTTGCGGAAGACATCATCACGTTGAAGGGCGATATCAGTGCCATGGCTGGATGAAAGTTCAAAGAGATCGGTGCGTAATTTGGACATGTCAAGCGTTTGAGGAACGGAAAGGCGAAAGTCGGCACATGATAGCATACCACCATCCTTGTTGAGAGGCGAGAGTTTCTCCACTGAAATACGATACTTTAAGCAGAATTGTGCCCAATCACGTAAAAACGCAGGCTGAAGACCATTTTGATTCAACAAACTTGCTGCATACTTGAAACGACCCACATAAGGTGCTTCTTCGAGGGAGGGTGGAACTCCTTGTGGATCACGTTCGCCCAAACGACCTTCTTCTTGTGAGTGGCGTACAGGAGGTTCGGTTGCTTCAGTATCAGGCACATTATAGGTCAACGTAGCATCCCACTTTTCGGCTGCTGCAGCAAGGCTCTTGAAAATGGCATCGCTATCCGATCGAAGCGTAATGAGCACACCAAATGTGACATGGTGGTAAAGGCGAGACAACATGCAGTCGTTAATGTCGCAGGGGTGGTTGGCAAGGCAATCAAGAACGGCACCCACAATATCGGTGCCATGGGGACCTGCCATGGTGACGAGCACCTGTTTGTCCTTGCTGGCCAAGGGAGCAGTGGTGGTGGCGTTCGTGTTATTGGATGCCATAGTTTGATAAGAGATAAAAAGATGATCAAAGAGATCTATCCGCTGGTGACAAATATTGACGCTGAGTTGTCAATAAAGTGAATCACATGATGATAATCAATGGACTACAATCGTTCTATGTCCCTTCATGAACTCCTCTTGTAGACATGCCCTTGTACAATACAGATCCATGATAACCCATACATAATACCTGAGAAGTGCACGTGATCATGATAAAAGAAGAAGGAGAAGAGTACAAATCTTGACTAGATATTTCACTAAATGGAGAAGGTGATGCATGGTCGATGGATTGTGTAGCTTGTGTTCCAGATCAAAAAAATTACTGATGGGAATGGTTCTCACGAAAATGTTGGATAAGGTAATGGTGCATGAATAGCTGGTGGTATGGTTACACTAGTGCTCAGGAGGTCACATTTGAAAGGAAACCCGCCAAGGTGGATGGATGATGCTGATGATAATGTTGTTGTGGAGGAAGATGTGTATTGTGGTTTTAGCTTTATGATAAAAAGAGAGCAATGAAAAAGGGGATCGTAAGGGAAAGGTTGTTTTTGGTATGATATTGTTGTTAAATGAGTATACATGCACAATGGTGGCGATTTTTACAACTATGCGGGCTAATTACATGGGGAAGATACAGCATATGAAAAGAATAAGGGCTATGATTTGGACAAGAGGGAAGATGATTTTCCATCCTGTTATTATACAGGTGAGATCGCAGCCGGTATATCTTGACTTGATGTTGATGAACGGCCCATTCTTGTCGGGGTCCATGTGGTCAAGCGTTTAAAGACACCTGACATGTTGTTGCTTTGCTGTTCTTCAACACAAGAGTGGGCTTCCCAAGGCTTGCACAACCGTTTCTTGCCATCATGGAAGAGCAGATCAGCATGATCTTCTTCGCTATCATGAAGTACCTCTGGATCATAGATACATTCAAAGCTACACTCAAGATTGTCTTGTTCAAATTTATGAATGACAGGGGGTTCCTTGCTGATCCTGACAGACAATGATTTCTTTCGCTTGGATGATGCTTTGGTCTTTGTATTTGTATCCAGAGATAGTCTACGAAGTTGGCTGATCATGGTTGTCATCTTTGTTTTGAAAAGAAAGATAAAGGATGAAAAGAAAGAGATCGTTCACACGAACACAACAAACCCCTTTTCTTTCTCTTCAGTGCTCACACACCTTGTGCCCAAGAACCAATGGTGTTGCACCATTCCACTTTGAACACAGTTAGCTGCTGCTGCCTCCCGCGGAGCTAGTCTCCATCTGGCTGGTGTGTGCAGTAATCCAGCTTGGCGAATCATCCAACAAAGAAAATCCGTGTCACCCAATAATATCCATATCCCAAAATGTATCATACATCATAATGAAGGTTATTGTATCATTCTCTTTCACTCTATAAGACTTGTATTGGTGGATGGTATTATCTACAGATGTTGTATGTGGTGGAAAAGGAAAGGGGTTGGATCACAACTTATATAAGCGACGAATAGGTTCTGTTGTTCGCTTGATTCTTGCTAGGATCTTTAGACGCCATAGTGCATACATATAAGCGCCTAATCCCGATGAAAGAGCGACACCGGAAAATGCATAAAAAGCGATTGGATCATCTTCGAAATAGTTCTTCAAGTTCATGCCAAAGAGTGCACCATATACGCTCACGATACTTGCTGAAAGAGTAATGATAGTCAATCGAATGTCGAACCACATAAGAGAGTTGCGAGATACGTCAAGAATAATTTGCACGATTTCTTCGGTCGATCTCATATTGGATATCAATGATGACGCTGTGCTGGCAATTTCCTCTGTTTGCTTCAAATAGGATTCCAATAATAACTCCACTTCTTCGTGATCCGATGAATCTCTAGGTTTTCCAGCCTTCTTTGCAGTGAGATACATTGCTGCCAAGTCCTCATCTACAAGGTAATAAACGTAGATTAATATCCTTTCTTTCTCTTTACTCCCTTGCGATATGCATTACCATTATCCAAGACATCTTCGATTGCATCATGGATGGACAAGGCGTCTTTTTCAAATTTGGAGAGCTTCTTTGAATACTGCAAGAGATCACGTAGATGGCTTTGTTTGACTGATTGCTCCACGTCTGCAATCTCTTCCAAATCCCCCAACAGCTTGTTGACAGGTGTCTCGAGGACTTCCAATTGTGATTGTAAAGAGGAAACCACTGATACCAGTATCGCTTCCAATGCTCTATAAGAGCCACAATATTAAGATCGTGTAACTCATGCGACTGTCATTTACTAACCGGAATTCAAATGGCAATTCATGGTTGGTGCGTAAACGTTCTTGCAAGTCATATATGAAGATGCTTTGATTGTAGCTATCGGACGATCCAAATGTATCGAATAGAATGACGAGGTCGCTTTTGACAAGGGCTTTGAGATGTGCAATGTTGACAAGGATCGCTTCGGGTCGTACTAAGATGGATGGCTTTTGATAGGCCGAGTGTGTATCGATGCCACGCAAGTCGCGTGGTAACAAGGAATGTCGTTGGCAAATATCCGATTTACCAAACTCGCCCGCCGTGATTCTGACAGCGCCTGTGGCATCAAACTCTGTACCTTTGTATATGAAAGTAGATGTATATACGGGGGGAGTAACACAAATAAACCCGGTTACAACTCTGTCAACAGAAACCATATAGAAATAGCATCATAATAGCTTACAGCGTAGCTTCAGGTCACCCTTCTTGACAGCAACAGCATGGGTGGTGGCGAGTCGTGTATGTTCTTTGACGTATCTTGGTTGTTGACGATGCAGACGACTGAATGACATTGGCCATTGTGGAGTGGTGGTTGTGGTTGTGGTTGTGGTAGTTGTAGTGACTCGTCGACGTGCGATTCTTGTGAAGGCTACACATGGTCGGCAAGGGACATTCCTCAAACACTGGAATGCGATCGGGATCATGCCAGGAAATGGAGCGGTTGAAGAAAGGACAGTGAAAGGGCGACGTTGTTGTATTGGGTGGCACAAGGAAAGACAAGGTTCTTTTGTTGTACTTTTCAGGCAAGAAGAAATTCAACCGACCAACAACAATGCAGCCTCCATCCACTCACTTTTGAATTGGCGGCATTTGACAGCGACACACGTTGAACATACAAAGAGCATCATAGCATATGACCTTGCACATTGACATGGCACAAGACTTGTCTCGGAGGCAATGAGAATGCTTGCTGCCCCCCGCCACCAAACATCGATGATACTCCCAATCGTTATTAGTATGAGACAACTAGTGAGACACCCATTGCATTCTTCTTCATAAATATGATTTTGGCTCTTAAAATCTATCCTCCATTCATATAAAATGATCATCTTGGTTCAGAAAGAGAGCTCTTATTGGCAGCTTCATGGGTCAGCTATGCTGCGTTTGAAGCTGAAATGGAAAAGGTGATTGTGCATGATCGGTTGCCGACAAGCAGTGTCCTTTTTTCATAAGCAGCATTTTTAAATGCATGGCCGTCCTTGCGTATCCCCTGAGATGGTTGTACGTTGTTCATTCTCAGCTATATGCACGTCTTCCAGAAAGCGCAACACCATCTCAGACCGCTAAATCGATAACATTTAGTGAGTCAGCTGTATGATTGAAATGGGGCGCAATGATATTGTATGCTTCTTCAGCCCACTGAACATTGCAAGTTCAAGAGGATCGAATTGATGTTATCGATCCCTATGCGTAGGCTGTATACGTTTCGGTCATTGATGAACAAAAAAACAGCATCATCATGCACATGATAAATGCACGTCAAAGCAGCCCCATGCATCACCATCATTGCTCACGTGTGTATTATATACGTTGTGCCAATAGTAGCTGGATTATTGGACCTTTCTCATGCACGTTTTCGATTACATGGAAGTCCTTGGTTTCCTTGTTGACATGTGCTGTTGCCAGTAATTTGCATGTGCATCGCCACAAAAGGTGTTACAAGCCCTATATGGAGTGTGAATGGCTGTGGTATTATACATGTGTATGTGTTTACCAGCTAACTCTGAGTATATAGATCTACCGTAATGTGTGTCGAAAGTAGTGGAAGCAATGGATGATAATCATGTACCCTCCTTTCCAAAGCTCAGTACAAAGGTTGATGGCCCTGAATCCTTTAATGACATGCATTGACCAATGAATGCAAAAAATAGCTCCGCCATGGATACGTTGGATAGGTAGTCGTTTCTCTTATCAAGTTTTGTGATACGTGATGGCGTCAGATTTAGCGAGCATGCTTTGGTATATATCGGATGATCGGCAATCACCGATTTAGGCTAAACCATCCTCCAACAGGTTTGATCCTACCCTCGTTTAATATCGCTAGTCTAATTTGTGGCTGCTAGTTCTATCGTTGTAAATAGAGTGTTTATGTACTTTTGAAAGGAAATTCTTTCCTCATGGGGGTGACGAATATGCATGCTATACGTGAATAGGTTAAACTGCTGGATCAATGCAATCATTATGCTTATCATGTCATTGTGCTACGTATACAGCAATGGTTGTCCAAATGTAAGATGATTAAGAAATCCATGTTTACCAATTGTTCGTCTAAAGAGAAAATAAAGAACCAGTTGTAGATATGAAGAGGTAAAAGTACAACGGGAAAAAAGGAATCGCAACGAGATGCTATATATGAAGGGGGTAGTGTGAGAGAGTATATATATATAATGTGTGTGTGCGTGGATGGATTGGTGGAGGAAGAGAATATAGCGGATGGAATACCAGTTCCAAGGTATTGGATGATGAGAGGAGGAAGGAAAATAACATGTGGAGGAGATCATGGCGGATGAGGGATGGTGTAAAGTAAATAAATTATCTAGTTGATTGTGGACATCATTGTCTTTTTGAAGCCTCGAATCTTTTCACATTCTCCCTTGAGGTTGTCAGCCCGTGACGTATGCCATTCACCAGATGCATGAAATTTACGAGCATAGCGCAAGCAAACTTCCTCTCGATAATTAATGTACAATTTACGGTTGTATTGGCGCTATAACGTTTATGGATCAGTAACATGTAAAAAAAAAGGTTTGCATAAAGTAGACTTACCTCTTTGCGTCGTGCATCCTCAGGATAGCGATGGGTCTGATGGATTAAAAAGTCGTTTGGAAGTACCCAGTACTCAATACCAGACAAAAAGATTTCATAGAGACAAGCTGCTTTGTTGGCACCGTAACCCACAAAACGTTCCTCACACCAAGGAGAGCCTTCCTTTTTGTAGATGATGTATGGCTCATAGGAGAAATCATAGCGTGTCACCTTGTAGAGGTCGTCCGTTTCATACCATTTGGTGTAATTAGTGGATCCATGACCTTTGAACCATCCTTTGTGGAACATGCCGATCTTATCTTCTTGCACCAAATCCATAAGCTCGTCCTTTTTGGTTGGGAACGTACGCCAATCATTGCCATCATCCAAATTATCAAACTCAAATGCAGGTACCACTAGTGCTGTACGTCCTTCACGTAACCGGTCCATGATCTCAGGGTTACCACGGATGGATTTGCGCAAGTCGGTGCATAGGTGAAAGTCCACGTCCAACATCATAATGTAATCCGTGCGAGCAAACAACTTTGCAACATTGCGCCACATGTTGAATTGGCGATCATATTGGTCCACAATCAAATGCAAGTCGACATACTTTTGCATATCCGGGTTGGATGAATGAAGTTCCTGTAACTCGGTGATCACCTCATCCTTGGTCTCATCATCCATGACATGCACCGTAGCAGAGATGGGTCCTAGATAATAGCATCATCTAAGTCCTCCTTTCTCTTCTCCTCATGCAATAGTCATCCCATTACCTTTGTAATTGCTTGCAAGTCGAGAAAGCACAAGAAAACGATTTCGAGTAACCAGGGTCGACATGGTGATATCTTCTTTATCAAAGGTCTCCTTTGCTCGGAAAAAGTAAGGCGTCATGTTGCTAGGTCCCATAGCTTCTGAAAAGACCTTGCTCATAATCAAATTCTCGGGTAGTACTTGAACAGCGCCGTGGGCATTTGACCAAGCAACGCTATGGTCACCGAGTTGTTGTTGTTGTTCCTGCTGCTGGTGCTGTTGTTCGTTCGAATGAGTTGAGAGGGATTCTTGTTGATCCGATTCAGCATGGGCGTCTCTAGCTTTCGGCAAGAGGCCTCCAAAGTCATGACTGGTACCACTGTAAGTCGCGACGAGATAGCTGGCGGTGTAGATGACCGAGAGAATGGCGTAGGTGATGAGTAGGTACTTGAAGAGCTTGGTTACAGCTTGTCTAAGCTCCGGTCTCATATTGGAAGATGGATAAAAGCGGGGAGAAGAGGGGGAACAAGGGACACTGGAAGATCGGATGTGAAGACACTGAAAAGGAGTGTGAATAAAGAAAAGAGAGAGCAAGAGTGAGAGGAGTGAGCAACCTTTTACGTGCCCGGCGACGAAAAAAAACGAGTGTATGCGAGAGAGAGTAGAAGATGAAAAAAAAGCACAGTGTGGGTTTATTTTTGTTCCCGCCATGTTACATTTGGAACCAAAAGCGCGCTAACGATGGTGCTTCACTCTTAATGACAACAAATGATATTAAGCGTCCTTCTATATGCATATAGACCAAGTATAAATGAGAACCCCCCACCCCGTTAGTATACGTTGCTATGCCTTGTCTCGATCCATAGCAACACATGCAATATCATAGCAACACCTCATTTCATCTTTCCGACAGGTACAAACATTAAGAGCGCACAAGGTACATCAATAAATGAAATTCATTGGTTGCTCTTCCCCGCCATATGCTTATTCGGGTAGATGAACATGTTTATTGCAAAAGCTTGGGTCCACGCGATACAATCGTATCCACCAAAAGAATTATTATCGTTCCCATCAGCAGCTTTTGCGTATTTTCGGGAATCAAGTAGCTCTGAGTTGCATCTATTGCTGAGCTGATGGGGTTCATCCATGTCGTACATGAAGCTGCACCTTGTTCTCTTTTGCAGAAATATCCGACGACAGACCACATCATACTTCAAAGTGGCGCAATGCTACGGTGTTGTTCACAGCAACATTTATACCATTACGTTTATCATACAGCATGCAGGCATTGAAGGGATTGAGGATGATGCATGATAGCTATCCATTGTTGTATATATTTGGCTTAGGTCGTGTACTAGTAGTAGTGTGTCATCAACTACAACATCTTTGATAATACAAATTTATACATTGTATGATACAAGTGGTGGTATTGTGGAATAAACATACATCCGTGCATTGTGCATTGTGCATATGCACATGTACATGTTATAAGAAAAATAGCTCAGTGCAATTGTAAAAGAGGGACGATTGAAAACAAAATGTGCTTCTGCCGTGCTCTGATGGTGCAACGTAACTCGAATACCAGAGTCGGCTTGGAGGG